ATTTGACCAGTGTTGTCAACATAGGGTTTTTATCTTTAAATTTAGGGAGGGAAATCTTTACAGGGTTTTTTTGAGGCGTAAAATTCTTTCGGGATATTTTTAGGGATAATTTTTTTTTATCGTTACTGCTGTTTATTAAAATTAGCAAAGTATAAATAAAATAAAATAATTTATTTATTTATTTGATTTATGTCAGGCACACGATTTTCAAAATTTCATTGTTACCGCCATCGATATGCACCGACGCGAGCAAAAGGCAAATATACCGGAATCTGTCTTCTTTTTCACTCATAAATTTAATAAAGAACGAAGATATATTCTACGGTCAAATGCAGCAAATAGACCTTTGATGTTCATCCACTTAAAAGACACCCACAGAACATACTAAAGAAGAAATATCGTGTATTTTTTAGTTTCAAATTTAAATCTGGCGGAAATTATACAATATACCATGGCCCTAATATGTTTACTTTTAAAATCGATAAGGCCGCCATATCAGTAGAAAAAGAAACAAAATATCTTCCTTTTTGTCGGTCGCGCGTACGCAATGCTTTTTGTTCGGCCTATTCGTTTTGCTTGTTCCTGCGCGCTCGGTTCGTTCTGTTCGTTCGGGCTAAAATGCTTAAGTCTGGACGCACCTTAAAATACGGCGGAAATGTTCACTCAGTGATTTTATACAGGTACGGACGAAAAATTATTACTCTTCAAACCAGTTGGAAAATTGTAGGTGGCTACATAAAGGAATCATGTTGACATTAAAATCAAATTTATCATGCCAAAAAATCCTAGACACCTATTTTCATCCAAATATCGACGTTAATTCAGAAATTATTTGAAAAAGTCTAAATATAAATCAAACGTTTACACCCTGTTTCTCCGAAACGAAGCATTTTACGACATTTTACTTATAATAAGTAAAATGTACTTTAAATAAGTAAAATGTCGTAAAATGCTTCGTTTCGGAGAAACAGGGTGTAATAGTTTCATTTATATTTAGACTTTTATCTAAAGAATATGCTGCCGAGGTTTCCTGTTACACTTCGTACCACCCTGTATAGAACTTGAAAACGAATGATAGTAAAACTAAGAGCCACACCCAAAATCTTTCAAACGATTAATCTCCTTAATCTAGATATTTAACGGTATATTTAAGATCAGTATTAATCTATACATTGTATTAACAATCTGCAGAACAACTGTCTAATCGCCTTCAAAGCATTGAGAGGTACATAATAATATTCGATTTGCTGAACTAGATTTGTGCAGATATAGTTATTTATAGAACTCGCAAACGGTTATGTTTACAATTCAGTAGTTAACATTGTTTAGTCTGTATAGTATACACGAGTAAATAACGCCATTGCTTATAAGCATTAATTATAATATGCAATAAGAAACAATAAGATAACAATTAATGTCTGTTCTTTTAAAATTATGTGGTGAATGTAATTGGTCGTTTTTTCCATCAAGTCAGCATAAACTAATCAAAACAAAATTATGGACCACATATATGTGTATCTGTATTTACTATATTTATAGATAGATATCCGTATATTTATAGCAGCATATCATCAGAACAGTTTTTTATGCATAAATTGATACAAAAACGAAATTCTTTCCCGTCATAAAAAAATATCAATAAAGAACCACTCGAAGACGCATAAATTCCATAAAATCAGTTTTATTTAGTGTGATTTTGCCGTCGTCAAAATTGCGGTGTTAAATATGGCAAGTTTTGATGTTTTGGGAAGTCCAAACGGTGTTAGAAGACGTTTAAATATTGAAGAAGTCATCAGAGCCCCAACTTTATCGCAGGAGGATCGGTCGCAACGATACGTGTCGCAGCTTTTTCATGTTACATAATAGGTCATTTCCAAACTATGCAATCAATACAGAGAATATAGATTTGTTGTCCGCAGACCATATCTTCAACGAGTAAGATGAACAACGAGGTGGGAAGATCGGTTCAAGCCACTCTTCGTGAAAGAACACTTATCGCACAAAACCTACCATATATTCTTACGATCACCACAGGAAGTTGAATTCCAACTCAGACTGTAAGAAATAGGCTGCATGAAGTTAACATTCGATCAAGGCGTGCAGCTGTTGTCACTGGGACGTGGTCATCAGTGGAGGCACGTCTTTTTTACGGACGACTCCCGTTTTCGACTAGGTGATAATGATGCCCGGCGGAGAGTATACAGAAGACCGAATGAACGGTATCTGGACACAACAGTCAGAGTAGCGAATCATTTTGGTGGAGGTGTTACTTTAAATGGGCGTACGGACTTGCATGTGTTCCTAGACGGCATAATTAATGGTGAACGATACAGAGATGAAATTCTGGAACCATATGTTATTCCATTTGCTGCTCAGCATGGTCCAGAATTCATCTTACAACAGGACAATGCCAGGCCTCATACTGCAAGAGTAGTTACTCGATACCTTGAAGAGTCGAATATCATAGTTATGTATTGGCCTGCTAATAAGTAGCCATCGTCCCAATCCTATTTAGCATATTTGGGACCTACTAAAGAGAAGACTACAAAGTCGTCCACAAGCATCAGATTTTTAAACTTTGGGAGGAAATCTTCGAGCGGAGTGGAACGACCTTCCATAAGAGATTATTCAGAGCCTCATTCCGTCTATGGCAAATCGGTGTGTTTCTATGCACTTCTGCGTAGAAACTGTAGAGGAAAGAATGGATTAGGAAAAAAATTACTTCCGTTGACAATTAAGATAAAAATTTTGTAGAATTGTTTTCAATACATATTAAGGTGCGTATTCATTATCCGAACGAACGAACGAACGAACGAATGTTCGCTAGTGGTATGGACGGGGACCGTACGATAGAACCGCACGAGAAGACCGGAGGCATTTGTTGGCGAACGCCTTTGATGTACCGACTCGAAACGGATGGTCGAGCGAACGAACGAACGAACGGCCGCATGCGTTCGGTCCCCGTCTAAATATACCGCACTTTCATTCATTCGTTCGTTCGTTCGTTCGTTCGGATAATGAATACGCACCTTTATAGTCATTCATAACGTAATAATGGGAAATCGTTTCGGTCTTAAAATCAACTCTACCAAGACCAAACTGACTGTGGATGAAAATATTATAGAGCGAGTACCACGATTTAAATATCTAGGTGCTATGATCAATGAACGATGATGTTAAACTTAGAACGAATTATGCAAAATCAACATTTTTTAAACTTAAAAACTTCCTTGATGATATATGCTTGATATAGTTAAAGAAAGAAAAGTTTCATACCTCGGCCATATCCTTAAAGGAGGCAAATATTACATTCCTAAGCTGTTTCTACAAGGAAAACTAGAGGGACGGCGAGGACCAGGAAAACAACAACATTCCTGACTAAGAAACATACGGGATTGGTGTAACATCAGCGACGCAGCCACCATATTTCGAAGAGCCGAAAACGGCACTCTACACATTATATGAAGAGTACAGATAATCGCCAACGTGCGGCTAAGCACAAGGCACAGGAAGAAGAAGATAACGTAATAAAAATAAAATGTTCAGCAGTTTAACAAATTTTTTTGTCATGAACACCAAGGTGCATAGACTACATTCAAACTTAATTCCTAAAGAATATATTGCTAAGTTTATATGTTTGAATAAATATATTTTCTTTGTTTAACGAAATGTATCAAAGTGATCCCTAATTCGTTTTGACTAGTTGAATGAAAAATCCCTCTGCATAAATGCAAATAATTTTAAATAAAAGGTTCGAAAGAGGGTTATTTTATTATTTTTTCTATTTGCGCTCTTCATTTATGCTAAATAATTATAAATAATTAAACAAATACGAACAACGCCTACAAGTTTTATCTGGCCCATTAATCAAAATACAAGCTTCAATAATTTATTACGTTACATTTACAATCGATAAATATACATGCACGATTTTACATACGAATTTCTGTTGATCGCATAAAATATTTAAATAAAACAGTGCTTAAAGTGGAGCCCATCGAGTCGCATTAAACAATTTTTCGAATTTTTGTCCCACTAAAATTCGTTTATTTTCCCTATCGCTTAAAAAGCGCTTATTCTAATGGAATAATGCTAAATTTATAATTATTTTACCGGTAATATTTATTGAATTAAGTTATTGGCTTGAATAATACCTACACGTCGACGAAAAGGCTAATTTTATTTAAAAATTTAAACATTTCTACAGCTCTGTATTTATTTCTACTAGATTTGCATTAAAATTGACAATAGCGTCCTTTTATTTAGGAAAATATCGGTTTATAATAGATTTTAAATTTATATTTTAGAATAATTTAACCGTCCGTTTAAAAATATTTTTTTTCCATAACAACTGTTAAAATTGCCTTATATCTATCAAAAATAGTAGATAAAATAGTACTTTAACCGCAAGGGTAGATTAAATGATAACAGCGAGGATAGGTTAAAAATTTTATTTCTTCTCGCACGTTTATTAATTGCTTCCATTTTTGAAAACTTTTGTATTCCTTTTCATAAGTTATTCGGGATTTAAATGGAAGTAGTTTGGATATGGCGTTTGTAGCCTCAGCCTGAATATCTGTTGGTAATTTACTTTTTTTTGAGCTATTTCTGGCTCCAATTCAATCAGCAATAGACACGAAAGAGAAATGTGAAAAGTTGAATGCATTTCAGCTCGTTGTTTTTCTAACACTTTCGTTGATATATCATCAGGTCTCGTTAGATTGAGGCTAGTGCGAAGGTCTCGTCCTAAGAACAATTGAGCTGGGGACTGTCCTGTGGTGGAATGTGGTGCTTTGCGATATTGTCGAAGGAATTGGTTAAGATTACTCTGTAGTGTTGCTTTCGTAGTTTTCATTGTATATAGTGCGTCTTTCACTGTTTGCACATACCGTTCCGCTTGTCCATTTGTTGATGGATGATATGGTGCTGATAGTTTGTGGTATTTCACTCCACTATTCTTCAGGAAAGTCTTAAATTCTTCTGCAATGAATTGTCTACCGTTATCTGAAACAACAGTGATTGGTGTACCATATGCTGTGAAGAGGTTGTCCATAATAGCGATTGTTGAAGCTGGTAGGTTTGTTGCTGTAGGTTGCGATTGTTGAAGCTGGAAGAGTGGTAGGTTTTACTTCAACCCATTTACTGCAAGCGTCGACAACGATTAACAGCATCGTGTCGGCTACTGGACCTGCGTAATCAATATGAATACGTTCCCATGGTGCCTTTGGGTACTCCCAATGGTGGTTACGAAATTTGGGTGGATCATGCGCTTGTGTTGCACATGCGGTGCAAGACTTAGCAAGTTTCTCAATATCTGCGTCTATGCCTGGCCAAAAAACAAAATAACGTGCCAATCCTTTCATCTTGATTATGCCTAGGTGAGCTACATGAAGGTCGTTGAGGATGGTGTCTCGTAGAGAAAGCGGAATTACTACTTTATGCTCAAACATCAAGCAGTTGGCTGCTAGAATATACTTATAAGTTGTGATATACTAAATCCTGTCCATCTTCTAGAATTTTCACGATCTTACCAAGGTGTAGGTCTTTTCTCGTTTCGCGTGCGATTGCTTCTGCTCTCACTGGTAGTTGCTGAGTTTGATGTATAGTAAAACAATCGAAATCGTCGAAATCCTCGGCTTCTTCCCTTTGTGAGGAAGAAGAGTTGTGAATAATATTGACTGTAGAAGTTAATGGTGCTCTGGAACAATAGTCTGCGTTAGCGTTTTCTTTAGAAGTCTTGAAGACAATGTCGTAGTCAAAATGTGCCAGATAGTCAGCATAGTTCGCCATGCGACTAATACACAGTACTGGTAGTGACTTCTCAGGATGCAGAATTTGTGTTAATGGCTTGTGATCCGTGATAAGCGTGAAGAGGCGTGCGTACAAGTAATTGAAAAATTTTTGTACCACCCATACTATAGCAAGAGCTTCCTTGTCGATTTGTGGATATTTCTGTTCTGTTGCTGTCATCGTTCTACTGGCGTAAGCGATTGGACGTTCTTGCCCGTTGCTTAGTCGATGAGAGAGTACTGCACCGAGACCTGTTTTGCTAGCGTCGGTGGCTAACAGAAGAGGCAAGGTTGGATCATACTGGATGAGTACTTGCGGTGAAGTTAGAGCGTTTTTAATCTCTCCGTAAGCTTTGTTGTCTTCTGGAGTCCAGATGAATGGATCTTTAAGTAGCATATCTCTTAGTGGTCTATCTCTTGTAGATAGATCTGGAATAAACGAATTATAATAAGTTGCTTTTCCAAGAAACAGCTGTAGTTCTTCTGGAATTATTGGTTTGGGTGCATCACGTACTACACGGATATGTGTATCAGATTTGTGGATTCCGGATGCATCAATCTTGTGACCAAGAGCTTCTAAGACATGTTCCGCAAAGGTACATTTACATGGGTTTAGCTTGAGCCCATGTTGCCTAAATCGGTCTAAGATTAAGTTCAATGCTTGAATCAGTTTATCAAAATTGTCGGCATATACAATAATGTCATCGAAAAAACTTACGACATTTTCAAGTCCTTGTAGCACTGTCTTCATTCGTCTTTGCCAGATAGCAGGAATGTTGGCTGCGCCATACACTGCTCGTTTTGGCCGGATGAGACCATGAGTTGGAGTATTGAGCGTTAGTACATGGCTGAACTCTTCATCGACCTCGAGATGGGTGTAGGCGTCTGTAACATCCAAGTGGCAGAAAAGACAAGCGCCCCGCATTCGGTGGAACAGGTGTTCGATCTTCGGAATCGGATGTTCATCGATGATGATCCTTGGGTTGAGTGTTGGCTTGTAGTTACCAGTGATTCTCAGTTTCCCATTCTTCTTGACGACAACGTGTGTTGTTGATGCCCACTCTGAATAATCGACTCTTTTGTAGAAGCCTGAAGAAATTTTGGAGTCGATTTGCTTGGCGTACGCATCACGGAGAGCAACTGGGATATCTCCAGCACGGGCGAAGATAGGAGTAGCACCATTTTTCAAAGGCATTTTCGCTGGTGGTCCTGAGATTTTTCCAGGGACGTTGCTGAATTACGTCTTGGTACAGGTTGAGGATGTTACAGGACAGATTATAAATTAGATCAGGTTTTGCAAAGAGGCGTTCAAAGTTGATCTCTTGGGCAAACTCAGAGATCCACTCTCGTCCAAGTAGCGTCTCACACTCTCCTTCAACTACGTAGAGGTATAAGTTGCTAGTGGTGGCACCAATGGTGGCGTTGACGGACGTCTTTCCAATGCAGTTGATGCGGTGACCCGTGTAACTAGCGAAGTGACGATCTGTCTTCTGTAACTGAAACTCTGGTTTGATTCTAGCTACTTTTGATTTGGTTATGATGGAGCATGGAGCGCCGGTGTCAAGTTCCATTTTGACAGTGGTTCCCACTATGTTGACATCAATTAGCTTCGTTGGTGATGACTGGACTGTTCCAATTACCTCTAGTTTACTGAGGTGCTGCACGACATCAATGTTTTTTGCTGGTTTATGTTCAGTGATAAGATTTGTACCCCTTGTTGTCTTCGATCGACATACCTTGCTGATGTGTCCCTTCTTTTCACACTTGAGACAGTTGGCATTGAGGAATTTGCACTGACTTCGAGGGTGATTTTCACCACAACCTGAGCATACTGGCTGATTGTCTTTGGATGTATGTTTGGTGATACCTTGCTTGATTTGGTGATTTCTGGTAGCGGCGTGTTGATGAAATGTTTGGTCGCTGATTACCATTCTTTCGAGATGGATGTTTTTCGTATCCAATCTTGTTCGTTGTATCTGGTTTGACGACAGCAGTCTTTGCTTCGTCAGCAGTGTTTCGAGTGGCTTCGAGTGCGTAGGCAGTTTCGTATGCAGCGGTGAAGTTCTCTGGCTTCTTGGCGATAATTTCGTCACACATTTCTCTTGACTCTAGACCTGCGAGCATTTGTTCAATCAACATTCTGACGAGGAATGCTTCATATTCACAATAGGTTGTAGCTTGTCGCAGTCTTAAGGTAAAACTAGCAATGGATTCTCCTGGTTTTTGCATGATGCTTCGAAATTTGATACGTTCAGCAAACTTATTGCGTGTTGCGTCGAAATGAACAGTAAGTTTCGTTTGAAATTGAGTATATGTTAAATATTCTGGATCTTCAGGACTGACAAGGATCTTTAAGGCATCGTTGAGCTCAGAACCCATATAGACACGTGCATAATGAGAATGCTGTTCTTCAGGGATTTTACTCAGATTGAGCGCCCAGGTGAACCGTGTAAAGTAGTCCGTGATTGAAGTTCCGTCGGCAGCGCGATATGCTTGCATGGAGAATTGGGGTGGTCGAGGCTGTGCTGATGACGTTTGTTCTGTTGGACCAGGTATTTGGGACTGTCGTATGGCATTGGCAATTAATCCCGATAGTTGTTGGAGTAATTCTGGTGTTACTTGAGCCATGTTGAACAACGTTTATAAATAGGAGACTACCAAACTGGCGATGAACTGTATTTGAGCACGAAGTTTGACGAGGTTGCGTTGCAGTTCGTAGATTTCGTTTCTGTGTTGCACTTTCGCGAGTTTATATATCTATCCCACTTCTGACACCACTATTATATTTCTTGGGGGGTTTATAGATATATAAAGTGCACTAAACTCTACTTTTATTTAAAATACCATTTCAAAATTACAAATCATTGACAACTAAACTTATGACATGAGCTTGACAGTTTTTCAGGTATTCACAGGTGGAGGTGTACTCCGATAAATATATAACAACAAGATAAATCGAAATAGATATCAGTGAAATCGAATCGATCCACACGCTTCAATCGTTTAGTCGAATGCCGACCTTGTTATAGGCTTGGTCCACTTCAAGCGATATTTAAATTTCCAACGACAGCCTCTCGTTACGGCAGAAATCAGAACTACCCGGCTACTTTATTTTACGCCTTCCCTGTTACTGTTCATGTTGATCGCATTGAAATAATATTGGAATCGTAGCTGTGTCGTAGTATTTAAGTATTTTAGTTTTTACTAGTACAGTTTTATTGAAACTATAAACTTCTCAGGTATGAAGTTTGTACGATGTAACACTGCTTCGGGTAGTAAAATTTGGGTGAAAATTTGAACATAAAATATTTAAATGAAAACAACTTAAAGTGAAGCCCATCGAGTGGCATTAAACAATTTTTCGAATTTTTGTCCGATTGAAATTCGTTTATATTCCCTGTCTTTTAAAAAGCGCTCATTTATAATTATTTTACCGTTAATACCGAGGGTAATACTTATTGAATTAAGATATTGGCTTGAATAATCCTTGCACGGTCGACGAAAAGGCTAAATTTTATTTAAAATTTAAACATTTCCACAACTCTTTATTTATTTCTACTAGATTTACATTAAAATTAACAATAGCGTCCTTTTATTTAAGAAAATAAATTTAAATTTGTATTTTAGAATAATTTAACCGTCCGTTTAAAAATAAATATTTTATTATTTGAATGACTACAACTCTTGATTTTTAAAAGGCACTTGGTATATTTTTACTTTATTCGATAAAAAATGACACTCTGAATAGAATGTCATATCATATGTCAACTTTTGGCATTCTCGCTTAATAACAAATCGCATTTTAAATTTCAATCTAGAGTACCATAGCTGTGTTAAAAACACTAATTTTTAATCAAGGAGCCTTAGAAAAATAGTTTTGATCGTCTAATGTTTTTAGTGTCTTGTCCTGGCCGGTTAAAGATGCCCAAATCGTATTTTTAATCATATCTCATTTTTTTCAAAAGGAACAAAGGTGGCTCATTGGCATATTTGGAAGAAGCATTTTTTACGAATAATTTGGTACCACACACTTGCTATTTCGAGTCAAATTGTCGTTTGAACCGAATATTACAATGTCAAATAAACCATACGCGAAAATGTCAAAAGTTGACGTATGATATGTCATTCTATTCAAAGTATTATATTCTATCAAATAAAGTACCTAACAAAATACCGAGGATGTGATTTAAAAATCAAAAGTTGTAATCATTTCCGGTGAAACAGGAAGTGACCAAAAACAAATGAATACGTCAATCAATTAAAAAACCAAGTTATGTCACATACCTACTAACACACCAAATCTAGTTTTTTTATCTGAAAAAATAATTGTAATTTATATCTGGTAAACAGTAAACTAGTAAAAAAGTTACATATCAATTTGGTAGGTTTTTTATTCTCTTTAATTTTAAAAGCTTTACGACAGTTAAAAAATTGTTTCACCCGGAAAAATGCAAAAAACTGCGTTTGTGTCACTTTGGCGCTAACTTTGTCCCTGTGGGATTTAGAGGTTTGTTACTTAAGAATGAAATTGTAGAGAATTTAATTCTCTTCATTTTTGGTTCCATAAATTTTTCTGAGAGACCTACGGTTCAGCCAGAAAATTAAATCCAAAATTTTTTATATCACAAACGGTGGGGTGAGGATACGAATTTTTCTAATTTAAGCCCTTTCCAGTAGACCGCTTACGACTGGCAAAGTATGAGAGCCGAGGTAATTTGATGTGAGTTAAAGTGCCAGATGGATTGTACTACCGTCCCGGTTACCGTTCATGTTGATCGCTTTGAAATAATAATGGAATCGTAGCTATGTCGTAGTATTTAAGTATTTTAGTTTTTGCTAGTGCAGCTATTGAAACTATGTTCTCAGGTATGAAGTTTATGTGATGTAACTCTGTTAGAAATCAAATGAAAAAGAACTTCAACTGGGCGTCGCGTTAGTTTATAACAATTTCAAATGATAATATTGTTGCCGAAAAAATGTTAACGCGAAAAAAGGACGTAATTGCGTGGTTATTGGGTGCAATAACATTCAATATAACTCTCCCGAAACAACATTTTATAGCTTTATTACACCGCTTTGATCAAAGGCAAAAATTGATTCAGGCAGTTCGACAAGACAAGTGAGTGAAAAAATTGCCCATTACATAATCACAAAATTAAATAAGCATGTACTCTTTCACCATTATTAATGGTATACGTTTTCTAATCAACTAGTTAAATTTTTATGAACATCAGTTATGTCCCCACTAGCTAAACCGGTGCGTAAAACTATAAAAATTAAATAAATTATAAAACACTTTAGACCTTCAGAAAATATCAAAAGTCCTATCTATTTTTTCTTTAATTTTCTCAAATTGCACTTTCAACTTTTCAAATAGTATTATTATTTATTTCAGCTCATGGTATATCCCAGAATTTCTAATTTCGGTGAGAAAAAAATGGGTCGTAATCTTTCCTGTGTTAGGACGTTGTCGTTTGCTAAGTGTCTATATAATATGGTGTATAATAGGTTTAGTGCATTCTCCGCCGGTGCTGCCGTCATCAGAGAATATTGTAAAGAGCCGACTAAACAAATACATGGGTTTAAATAGGGAATAATTGAAAAATTTGTTATAATATTATTTAAAAGGTATTATTAAATGCAATTTGTAAAAATTATAAAAAGGATAATAATGTAATTGATATCTGAAGAAGGTCTAACGTGTATTATAATTTAATACTCTAGCTAATAAAACATTTTAGCTTAGTAGCTGCCAGAGATTATTACCCAAACCTCACCAAATACATAGTCTATGACGCCGTACCGGCGGCGGCGCCGGCGCCGGCTGCTTTAACTACAGTAGCGATTATAGTTTTATGCACCAGTTTTGCGATTTTTAAGTATATAATTAGGATTTTAGAGCACTTCCAAAAAACATTAAGCACTAGATTATTGAAAAGAAGTATACTATTAATATTGATTAAATTATATTTTATTCTCAATATGCCATACGCATATTTAATTTTTTTGATTATGTAATGGACACTTTGTTATCGCACTTGTTTCGTTGAACTGCCTGAATCCATTTTCCTTTTTGATCAGATTGGTGTGATAAAGCTTAGAAGTTGTAAAATTTTATTTTGGGAGAGCTGTGATGAGTGTTATTGCACCCAACAACAACACAATTATGCTCTCCTTTTAGTGTTGACATTTTTTCAGCGATTTCATTATCATTTGAAATTGTCACAATATAACGTACACCCTAGTTGGGTTCATTTTCACTTAATTTTTACTACCCGAAACAGCGTTACATCACACAAACTTTGTAAAAGAAAAAAACTTAAAGTAACTAGCAAGAAAAATATACATTTTTTAGTTATTTATTAATATCTCTGAAACTATCGAAATATATCTACTCATATTTTAGGATTATGTAAGTGATCTGAAAGGAAGCCAAAAATGCAATAATATACAGGCTGTTCCAATAAAAAAAATCCCGATCCACTCACACTTTTTTGACCACCTTGTAGAAGTTAAAGTATTTTCCTGAAATACAACCTATTATATACTTTGGGTTTGCACTTAAACAAAA